GGCCTCTGGGAAGGAGGCGAAAGAGGTAGCGCGGTGCTTCAGTGTGGTTTGGGGGGTGGCTTGGGTGCCGGGAGCCCCCGCCCGGAGGGGAAGGAGCCCGGATGGACTCGAGTCAAAGGAGCGCTCCGGGTTCGAGTCCTCCCGGAAAGGCGAGACGAGCAGGGCGCCTTTGAAGCAGCTCCTCCCATCCCCACCCCTCTGCTCTCTCTGCCTGACTTGCCTTCTGTTAATGTAGGGAAGAGGATTCCCCCCACACACACACACCTTAGGCCTGCAGAGCTGGAAGGGGCCCTAGGGATCATCGAGTCCAGCCCCCTGACAAGGAGGGACAAGAGGGGGCTCGAACTCCCAACCTCTCGCCTAAGCCATCAGCCGGTCTACAATTAGGAGGAGGAGGAGGAGGAGCACGCATCCTGAGCCCATGAAAGGGCCCCCCTCAGCTGTGACCCTCCTCCCTCAACCATGGGAGGGTCACGAAGAGTCAGGCACCACTTTATGACTAAACTACAACAAACTGCAATAGTAATTAAAAAGCCATTAATTAATAAGTTGACAGCATTTAATGAACCAAAAGCATTTAAACTTTAAAAACAAACTCGGAGAAACCTTGTCCAGCGATTTAAAAGCCAGACTGATGAGATAGGTTTGCTAGCTGTCGGAGGAAGGGAGGGGGGACAACCTGGAGGGAGAGCCTTCCACAGCCGAAGAAGAACAGCCACCACGAAGCCTGCCTCTCGTGCTCCTGACAGGCGCGCCTGCAGTGGCAGCAGGTCCAAGGGAAAGGCCTCCTCTTGGAAATCTTAAGGGTTAGGAAGGCTCTTTAGAAATCAAGCAAGAGTAAATATTCTCTACTATTTGCAGATGACTCCTTCATGGCAAAGGGAGACGTGCCAGAATCCTGGCTCACAGTATGATGTGTGTGTTTAGTTTTGTGTTTATATTTGTTGTTCAGGAGTTCTGACATGCTGGCTGCAGACGAATTCTTAAGATCACCACCGAGGAAGACAGTCAGGTTTGGTGGGTCTTTGGAGGAGATCTTGCTGAAATATCAAAAGGTAACATTGATGATCAAAGTTATTAATAATAATGATTTTTGTTCATGAATTATGCAGAGAGAAGAGTAAATGGTATGTTGGTTTGGCAATATTTCTTGGTTGCATTTAAAGATTACCATTTTTTTCATCTGGAAAATTCTGCCTCAGGAGGTTATCTTGTAGATAGCCCAATTATATCCCAATAATTTATACCAAGTGAAATGAAAGAGAGTGATCTCACTAATCTTGGAAAGGGGTTTTGTTGTGTTCAAGTTGTTATCTCATTAGGTCGAAATTATATGTTGTATAACTATCCTATTCAAAGGTAGTAATACTTGTCAGTCTTCTTCTCTGATCAATTTCTGTGACATGTGAGGCTGCAGTTCATTGTTTTTCTGGTTATAGGGTGAAACGAGTGACTTTAATTTGTTGAAGCATCAGCTACTGGATCCCGACATAAAAGTAAGGCATTGTCTATCATAGTTCTTCAGTACTCTGCAGTGATTAAGTGATTCTTGCATTTAAGAAAAAGTAGGACATATGAACAAACTGAGTTTATTCAGTGGATATAATTTGTAATTATTGAAGGGTCTAAATGTTATAAAAGCGTGGTTTCAAAGGTAGATCCAGGCAGGCTTTTAATATGCAAGTCCTTGTCATGTTACCTTGTTCAGCTATTAAAGAAACCTAATTCTGTTTTAAGGATGACCAGATTATTAACTGTCTGCATGAATTCCGGTCATCTGTGACATATTTGACCAAGGATTTTGAACAGCTAGTCAACATTTTGCTGGTAAGATTGTGCTGTTTTGCATCAGATGTTACCATTTTTATTCAGTCTGTGAACAACACACACCCTGATCTCTTCATCTTATATGTATAATATTGCAGAAGGTGTCATGGCTAAGAAAAAGCCAAGCAGTAGTGGAAGAGTATTTGGCTTTCCTGAGCAATTTAGTGTCTGCGCAAACCATTTACTTGAGGCCATGTCTTGCGATGATTGTCTCACACTTCATACCACGTGAGATTTTTTTCTTTTATTTATTTTCTATTCTTCTTGACCAGAATTTTATTACAGTTCCTGCTTGCCAAGGCTTGCAGTCCTCTGGCGTGCTGCTTCCAGATCCATCTGCTTCCATCGGAATTCTTAATTTCCCCTTCCCACTGCACCTCCACTGTGCATCCTAAAACACTGGTCTGGAAAGCTGGGAAGACCTCTGGAGTAGATTTTTGGCACCAGTGAAGGCTCAGTGTGAGGGGAGGAAAATTCCAATTATATTAATATTAGATACTGAAGTATCTTGGCCCCTGCTTCTTTCCATGTGACTTGTACGGAACCCATAAACTGCATGCAGCCTCTCAAGGCAGTTTTTGCACTTCCTGCTAGCACTGGCATTGAAATTAGCTTTGCTGCTGCCACTGATCAAATTATGTTGCCAGGAAGCAGCGGCTGTAATAACAAGAACTATTGTGTGGTTGCTTGTGTTTGGAGGGATCCAGTCTGAGTTTTCCCAAGATGTCTATCTGAATAAGTGGAAATATTGTATAATTGTTTGAACCTCAAGACCAAGTTATCACTGTTGTCTATAAGCAGGAGGGAGCTGTAATGGGCTTTGCTATCCCTTTTCTCTCTCTCTTCCTCCCAGACAGCCAGCATGACAACTTCAGAAACGTTTGCTATCTCTGTTCCTTTAACATGGTTTGTTGTATCATGCAAAAACATGGTTACATATTGTGTCATCAGCAAGCTTCATAGATGAGGAAGTTGTTTGGTTTTGACAAAACTTTGGCCTGAAATTTATGGCTGAAAGATTTTTTAATCAGTTTGACAGGTTTATATCTCTTTATTATTATGTTTTAATTGTAGATTTAGTTGGTTTTAAGGGTACTTCTGTTTTATTTTTAATATTATTGTTCACCTCCTTGAATGCTATAGAATTTTGGTAAATAAAGCTATTTGCTTTGAAATTGAACATTGTTGCAACCCCTTGTCCAAATAATACTGCAGGCCAGCATTTCCAGGAAACAGCTAAAACTCTGTGTGTCATATTGATCATGCATGAGGAAGAGAAGAAAGTGAGGAGTGCTTGAGTCTAAAGCTTGCTGTAGCCCCTTTCATGATAAATGGGCAGAAAGTTAAAGTTGGCATAATATAGTTTGATCTAAGTGAAACAGACGGAATGTTCTGTTGAAAACCTTTCAGATTGTGGTTTCTGATATAAATATATTTGTCAACGCATGAATAGTCATTTTCCGAAGGTAGCAAGCAATCATAAAAACGGTATAAATAGCTTTTGGACTATTCAGTCAGCTCTTTGCCATGAAACTTCATGGAGACACAGAGGATTTCGAAGCAACAAATGGACATGGAATCTTTCTGGCCCGGCATTCCAAACGGTGTACGTTTAAAGAGGTCTGTGGTCTGTGCTGAAATAAATACGACATCTACTGTATTGCACATTCTGTTCTGCAAGTGGTGATAGAAGTATAAAAGCCCTTGTGTCAACTTGACACATAGTTCCAATTTTGTCAGGTATAGAAGTTATACAGCCTAGGGTAGGTTCAGGTGACAGCTTCAAACAACAGGTATCATGAAAGGGCAGCAGAATTTTAGCTGTTTCATTTGTTGTTCCGTTTTTCTTGCCGGGGAAGGGGTAATATGCTTGCAAAGTTTTCTACTTCATTTGCCAAAATATAATAATCCAACTGAAATAATTTTCTGCCACTGTATACCTTGACTTAGTTGGGTGTGGGTGGTTGTTGCTGAGGCAGCAAAGTGTTTTGGGCTGGCCCGGGGAGATGTCTTTTGAACACTCAGTGGGTGTTTTAACAATAATTGGCTGCAGCATTTTAACCAGAAAGGGAGCATATACTAGTTGTCGTGAACATGGATGATGATGCCTGTGGTGAATTGGATCCAGATTTAGACACAGAATTGGATGCAGATGGAAGAAGCTTCCTACTAGTTGTCGTGAACATGGATGATGATGGCTGTGGTGAATTGGATCCAGATTTAGACACATTGGCCTGGGCTGATGGAAGACGCTTCCTTGCCCTCTTTGGCAAGGAAGCTCTTTGGAAAAACTCCACAAACCGTCTGGCGATCGTGCTGAGGGGTGTGAGTTTGGGTGGTGGAGGAGGAGTGAAGAGCTCTGGGTGACTCAGGGGGGGCACCATCTATGAACCTCTGCAGCAGCAGCAGCAGGAGGCAGATCCTGGACTGGACCTGGTATTTATAACCCAACTTCAGACCTGTCTGCTGGAGTTCAGGAGTTAAAGATTAACTAAGTGTGTCTTCAGGAGAAAAAGTAGTCCCTTCCTGAAAGACTGTTAAGCTGAAAGGAGTCTACAATAATAGAATAAGAAACAAAAACTACCATCTGTTAATATATTGTATATATAGCAGTTACATACAGCATAGTGTAATTATAGATGTGTGATTTAATAACATACATTCAATGTCATTATCATTTTGAACCTAACTTGGCAATGAAGATCTCACATTAAGTGGTACATAATGTAATAACAGAATAACCCTATGTCTACCTAGCTCGGATAACCATACGAGAAAATAATGTGGAGATTTCTGATTCAGATGATGATGAAAGTGAGTAGAAATTTCATATACTTTTCAAATAATAGAACTATTTGTCTCTGGTGCATGATACTTTTATTTGATCTCGTTATGCCTGATTGGGTTTGTAGTACAACATCCTCTGCAGCGCCACTGACTGCCCATCCTAGTGCTTTTGTTTAAGTATAGCTTTGTTTACAACTGTGAAGCATAGTTTCTTCAAATATTTATGACCTGAAATACCATACAGCCAGTATGACTGGGAGCCACTGATCACTATGTCCTTCATGAATTTTATCTAATTCCTTTCTATAGCCATCAGAGCTTTTGGCCAATACTACTCAAATATGTTAAAGGTAATAGAAAAGTTGTCTGTGATAAGAAATTAGAGGAATCTATCGGTGAAATGTCAAGTGTAAGTAAATCTTCTTGACTTGATTATTTTCTTGCAGATGTCCCTGAAAGTTTCAACACCTGCCACAGAGCATTACAGACAATAGTAAAATATGTCCCATTGTAAGTACCAAATTTTGTACTGGGTATTTCCCATGTTATATGTGTGTCCTTTCCCACCTGTTTATAAGTTCAAACTAAAGCCCATTTAGGAGAACTTATAATAGTCTTAGAACTGCAGATCTGGAAGGGACC